GAGTTGTTTGCTTAATTATGTCGTTATAGTTCAACCTTAATTGAAATATAAAGGCTAAATTTGTAGAGACTGCCTCTGACAGTGGCATTGAAAATTTTAAAAGAACTTAAATGAAACTTAAGATTCAGAATTGTTTCTTTCAACACTTAAAAAAGCTGTAGGCATTTGCTCCCTCTAATATTTATGCCTTACTCCATACCACTGAAACCTCATAAATGTTTTATAGAAAGCAATGATAATTGGCCTTTTAAACAATAGATCTGCTCCTCTGCTTAATCATCTGGGTTATAAAATTGTCCACATGCATGAAAGAATGCAATGAATGTCAGAGCTGTTGACTTCTAGAACTTCCTTTTCCATGCAGTCCCTCATTCAATGTTGGCATTGTTTGCTCTTGTTTTGTAGATGGCATTTCATTGCAATGGTTCAGTGCCCATTTTCAGCCTTTCATTGCAGTGTTTTCAGTTAGCTTCTTAGAACAATCTGCAGTGCTATTGAAAGGACACATACTTTATTTTCTCATTCCTGAATTAGGGGATGCAAGTGTCACAGAATTTAGGGAGCTGTTTGTACTCAATTTTATATCCAGTAAGTATATGGCAAGTCCTTTGAGTTGTCTAAAATCTAGATGATACTTCATTTAAATTAAACAATATGTCTGAGAATCTGAGTGTTCAGAATTTAGTTAGGCTTGTATGGAAAAAAATTCCATTTAAAGCTGAAAGAGAACTCAGAGCAGAGTTCCATAATGCAAAAAGGGAGACAGGTTACTAGAGCAGAACTGACTCTAAGGAATAACAAGATCTTTAGATTTGTGAGGGAATGTCTTCACATTCTGCCTGGCAAACTCAAGCTTGCTCTGCTGGTGTTCAGAGCTGGCCAGATGTCACGTTGCTGTGGACCAGGCACTGTGCTGATGTGAGCTCAAGCATAGTGCTGCATTATGTCCAGGCTTTCAACCAGTCTTGTAACAGTGCAAAGCTGGAATCTACATAAATTCTGTCCCAGAGTGGACAGACAGCTCGTCAGTGAGTGGGGCAAGGAGAAAGTTACTGCTCTGTGCTGTTCCTCAGTGCAAAGAAAGTGAGTCAGTCCCTGCTTTACCTGTAAAGCAGGCCCTTCATTTATACAATAAATGGAAGAAATTTATTTTTAAAAAAAAGCTCAATGTAAGCAATTAAAAATCAAAACAAGCTAAAAAAGTCTTTTAACAGCAAATATAATTAATCACTGCAAGTAACAAGGGTTGTGATTGTCTCTTTTGATGAAAGTATTTGAATTATCTGGTGCTGTAGGTCAAGCATAACTGTGTTACTTGAATAAAGATTTTATTTAGGAAAGTTTTCTGGCATGCTCTGAAATGAGATGAACTGCATGATTCCAATGGAATCTCTGGCCTTTCAATAATAGTAAAAAAAAAGCTATTCACTGCTAATGTTGCAAAAGATCCGTGGAACAGGAAGAATTGGAAAAAGGAAGTATTTTTGATAAAGGGTAGACTACTTTTGGAAAGTTTAAGGTTCCTAACTGTTTAGAAATACAGTTGAACTACTATTACTTGTAATTCTTTCACTGCCTAGTGAGGTTTGTCAGTGATCAGAGTTTGCTGAAGAGACCCTGATACTTGCATTAAGCTGGAATAAATCCAGCTTTGAGATGTGAGGTCTGGTCTTCACATACTTCAGCTTGCACTTAGTGTAGATGTCAGCTTTTCCCTTTTTGGAGAATAACCGGGATAGAGTTTTGATTTGCTACCGTTTTGAGGCTGAATGTTATCTAAGCTTCTTCCCCCTTAGAGATTCCCCTCCTGTCTTTCATGTCTGAGCCCTACTGCAACTTCTGGAATTTAAAACTTACAGAAGAGTGGAACCATGCAGAATAGCACTTAAAATTGTCACCTGGCCAGAGACTGAACTGATGAAGCTTACAAGAGCAGAATCTTTTAAAGATCCCAGAAGGATTCCACATGATTAAGAAAAAAATTTATTTTTTCTTTCTATTTCCATCGATGTGGGTTTTGTGCTACTGACAGTCATACTGGCTGGGTGTTCCTACTGCTCATCCTCCCTTGTGCACAGACAGGAAGGTTTGGATTTGTGTAATGACAGCAGCCATAAGATTTACATTTCCATTGGGTATGTTATTTTCAGAGTTAAGTGATGTTTGTTCCCCTGTAATTCATGTTTCCTTGCACTTATCAGATCTACTAGTTGGCTTTAAGTTGAGGCTATTCCTTTGCACCTGTATTTCCCTTTCTGCCCAGTTCTTCACAATTTTGAAGGTTTCAGTTGTCAAGGTGAGCCATAACATAGTTCTCTAAAGTTCCCTTCTGCCTTTATAGCCAACACTATCTATCCATTTTACAATTGGAAGTGATCTGTTACTTGCAGGAGGAGGTTTTATGCATACTCTGGAAAACCAGCCTTTCTTTTATTCCACTAAGCTCTAAATTGTAGGCCTTCAGATTAAGCCATTTACAATTCTTGTGGCTCTTGTAATGTTCTATAAACATTTTTTTACTTCCAGTCCAGTTACTCCAATTAACCCAAGGCTTTATTAACATAGGTCCCCTTTGGGAGCCCCCATAAAGCTCTACAGGTTCAGTTACAAATTTATCTCTAGTTTCAAGAGACGGAGCTCGAAAAAACCCCTCTGACATCTGTACTCTAATAACTGGAGAGCTGTTTAAAACCTACTTTTATATTTGCTATAAGCTCTTACATTAATACCTTTCTCTGTTCATATATCTGGTATTTTTCTCTGTTCTTGCCCTAGCGATGGACTCACGAAGAAGACTTGGAGCTGAAATTGGGAATAAAGGAGTTTGGAGTGGGTAACTGGGCCAAAATTTTAGTCCATGGTAACTTCAACAACCGAACAAGTGTCATGTTGAAAGACCGGTGGAGAACATTGAGCAAGATCAAACAAAACTGATTTGGACTACAGGAACCAACTCTTCCTGACCTTTGCCTACATGAGGACCTGCCCTAGCTTTTAAGAATAATATCTTACTTTAGTCTCATAGTGTCCAGCAGTGTTGCTGTCCTAAACCTTGAAACAGAATAGTAATAGGTATAAAACATTCATGTAAGCTCACTTGCTCTGGTAATGATGACTTAAATGTAAAGTCTGGCCTTTTTTGCTGCATGCAATAGTAGATGACCTAAATTCTGAAATGTGAAAGTGTTTGTGGTGATTTAAGAAATATCTATTATGTAAATAGGAGTATTGGATCTGACTGGCAACATCTTTAGCTTGATGGAGGCTAATAATAAAAAGTCAAGTGTTCTGTATTTTTAAATGCCTGTATCTCTTTTTAGAATGACCTTTTCATAATTAATTACTGCCGTATAACCCATTCTAATTTGTTTTTCTTCACTTTGAAATTTGGGTCAGACTTGTCATCTCTGTAAGTTATAACAAAAAGTATGTATTTATTAGTGTTGCTAATTTTATGAGCTGATGGTTTGTTGGGTTTTTTCCTGCAGTTAAAGGTATGTAAATTCATGTAATGTATTTGTAAGTAATAAAGACTGTAATAAAGGGACTGTTGATTTTGGGTTTTTTAACATAGAAAGGAACAACATTATACGAACACTTAGCATCTCTTGGTTAGCTTGTGCCACCTACTTTATCTTGACAAGTGACTTCTTCTAGACCAGCAGGAAAAGGAAAGCTCAGAAACACATGGCCAAAGTGGGTCTCAATATTCTAGAGTCTAACTGTCAGTAACAGCAAAGATTCACTTTGATGGGGATTACTGTCAAGGTCTCTGCTGGTCTCTGCAACTCTCCTGCTCATGGGAGACTGGAACAGATGCATGATGGCGCTAACCTGTCTCTCTAGACTCAGATAATTTGAAAGAGATTTCCACAATCTCAGAAAATTCATGCTTTCCACTGTCATACTGGTGTGGATCTAATGACTTGAACTAATATAATACAGCATTCTTTTAAAGATGAAATCTCTTGAATTCAGATGTTTTCTGTACCTTTTTTTCTTGTCTAAGGTTTTTATTTTCCAAGAACCTTACAAGATAAAGTACCTGTCTGAATTGGTTATAATAAAACAAAGCTGTCGGAGATAATTTTTTCCCCATTACAAAGGAAAACATATATTCTTGAAATCTGAAATGTTCAGAAAGTATTAAAATAATCTATGCTTTCTATTTCGGAGGCCTGCTTTCATTACAATAAAATGGTGAAATGCAGTTCAAAGGTTTTATCTCACAGCACACTCTTATTGTGGACAGAACCTCAAGCAGATCACCTTCCTCATTTTTGTCAAGAGATGCTATGGTTTCTTCCAGAAGTCTTTATGTTGCATGGAGATGCTGCCTGTCTTAGGAAATTTTCTCAGCCTGTAGAGCAGCCTTGCCATCAGTCACATACTGCAGGTTCTTATGTTAGTCATTGTAGATGAGCACTCTTAACCAGTGAAAAGTAATTTTTTTACTCTTAGCCAAGGCCTTAGTCGCAAAGTCTTGTCTAGGTTCATCTGCCAGAAAAGTTACATTGTGTATTATTGAAATGAAGTTCTGAGGAAACCAATTACTTAACAATGCTGACTAGGTATATGTCTTCATGAAGGCAGCTGAAGGTGAAAACTGCAGTGTAGAGGAAGAATACTTACACAATTGTAGTATAGGAAATTGTCTAGATGGTACTAGAGAGGAACAAAGGACCTAAACTGAAATTGGTTTCAGCTCTCAAAAACTTCATTTTTATTCACCCTTGCTCTTAAATGTTGACAGTAACTATTCTCAGAATTGAAAACATTTGGCTGGCTCACTACTGAGTAGGAGCATTGCTTATAGACAGGGCCATGGCCAGTAAAGATGGAGAACTTCAAGAAAAGCAACTACTAGGGTTAGAAACATTAGCTCTTTAATTACAAAAGAGAAACATGGAAACATGCTTCTAGTGTTCTAATACACAGATCAGTCTTTGCATTTTGTATTAAGGCAGTGAGAATTTCCTGAAATGCTTCTGCCAAAGTTCTGGCTCGTTTAAAATTTGTTAAGTCTCCAGAAAATGCAGCAGAAATATATAGGTTTCTTGGCATTGGTGTTAATTTTCTTACTCTTTTTGTTGCCATTTTAAAGATCTTTTAAACTTTTATGTAAAAATAAAACTATGCACAAGGGGACAGGAACAGTGTTCCAGTTGCCGGATCTTCTTCCAGGTTCCTTGGCACTGAGAGTTGCCAATTGCTTCCCAGTGTAAGATTTTATCTCTGAAATGAGACAATAAATGAGATATTAGAAGAGCAAAAGCTGTGTATTTAGTGTTACTGGATTGTGTTGTATAAAATGTGAGAAGTTTGTATTTGTTTAATCATGTAAGACTTTATTAAATTCATCTAGCTCTTAAAATGTTTTCTGGAGCAGATATTATATTCCTAAGTGGAGCATCCAAGATGATGGGTTGAGTAGCTGGTTATACAGGTAGTACAGTACTATGCATGTTAATAAATGTATTGATCAAATAAAAAACAGCTCTGAATAATAAATATCTTCTTTCACAATTGCTTTTCTAAAAAACAGCTATATAGGCTTGAGGGGAGTACCAATCCTCCACCGGTAAATCTGCAATCACATTTGGACTTTGGCAGAAAATACCCTTTTTCTAAGTAAAAGCGCCCATAACTGTAAAAAGTCCTCTTCCACTACACAAATCCCAACATTTCTTCACAACAGCATGCAAAGCATTAAGCTCTTAAATTATTTCCCAATTTTATCTAGGTTTTAAAAGCAATTTCTGTGAGAACTAAAAGGGTAAAACTTTCTGAGCTCTGCAGATTATTTGAGCCTATTCCATTTTTTTAGATGCAATAGGTGCATCTTTTGATGAGGCCTTGAGAAGTTTTAGGTGGTGTGCTGGGTTTTGTTTTACCCGTGTGCGTTACGGCCGTCTCCGGCGCAGCGCTGCGTGGCCGTGCTCATGGCCGGGGGCTGGCAGGCGACGCACACCGTGTGTCCCTCGCGCAGGTACTGCATCCAGCGCGCGTGCGGACGCGTCTCCAGGGCGCAGTGCTGGGAAAGGGATTCTGTCCTGAACTCCACGCAGTATCTGCTCAAGAAGGAAAAGTACTCAATTATGTAAGGTAAAGCATGAGCATAGGAGGCACTTTGAATGGACCGACGTGTCGTAAGGATGGTGTTTGTGAAATGCAAGTTAGACATCATTGCTAACAAATCTCTTTCTGACCCTAATCCAATCAGTGGATTCTTAAAAAAATTATGTAAACTATTTCTCATTCTATGCCCCAGTCCAGTGTTTTATGTATAATCTCACTTTCTGGTAGTGTTCTGTATTCTTAAATTATTTTGAAGAACAGACCTCAGTAACCCATATTTTTTCATCTATGCTGCTGAAAGAAAATGGAAAAGAGACTGTAAGAATATCAATAAGTTTTATTGTTCTACGGAAAAATAGCACAGGACAAAGCATTATGAGCATTACAGACCCAGTGACAACCTAATTTAAACTTCATTACCATCTCTACTGGTAACTAAACAAAATTTCTTACTGTTTGTGTCAAATAGTTAAAAAAAAAAAGGTCTCTTGAGACCAATCCCATTCAGCCCACATTGTTCAGAGACCTACATCTAATTTCTCAGACTTACACTTCGGATACATTCAGCTTTGTTTTAGCATTGTTTACTGTTGGCCTTCAAAAGCAGCCATCATCAGATTTACCATGATCCCATTGTCTAATTCAGGACAATTAGCAAGTAATACAAAACAACATCTAGAATATGCAAATAAACTGCAGGAGAGAAAACCAGTACAAGCTATAGCTTATTGTTTAATTATTGCAAATTTAATTACATTTTGCTCTGTAGCCAGCTGTTTTCTACTGAAAAAGATGACCCACATACATATGATAAATAGATTACCCTGGTGCTTGTTTGTCTGAAGGCCGGAGAGAAGATGCTGCTGGTCTTCTTTCTTTAGCGTATTCAGAGGTAGTTATGAAAGCAGGGACTGGGAAAAAAAAACAGTTATGGTAAAACAGCAAGGCACAGCTGAGTCATATTTCAATTACTGTAACAGAGGGTGAATGAATCAGGAGCTTGTGGATGGCAGTGCTGGCTCATTTTATTGAAAAAGTGATAAAATGTTGGCAACATTGAACCTCAACCCCATCCCCTACAGCTAAGTTCTGTCTTTATTCAGAACGAAAATATCTAACAATGCATGCCATCTAGTCAGTGAGGAAATAGGATGTGCTGGAAACCCACAGGAGTACTGTTTCCTCTTTCATACTGAATTTGTGTTCTAACTTCACAATGAGATAATTTGATACTTACACCCAACTGAAGGAATGCACGCAGCTTAGTTGTTTGCTTAATAGAAATTTAAAACAGCTAGAGTATGAAAACAAATTATTGAATAAAAAGCAATATGACAGTAGAAAGTAAAGTTCTAATTTATAATTTCAACCAGCTAATTGCAGATAGATGCTTGATTTTTTGCAGTTCATTGACATCAGAAAAAATTATGATGGCTGTGATGGACACAATGTACAGCAGAGAGAAGAAATTGAGAATACCATGTTCATGGCCACAGTCCTCCCCCTGGTAAGTCAGGTATTCCAGGCAGCCAGCCTTCTCCTCCAGAGCTGGGCACGGCTCCCCACCGTTTTTAGGTTCCTGTTGAACGTAGCGCCTACGGATCCGCAGTCCAGGATGACATTGCTCTGCACAGCCACTCCAATGACTCCACTCCCCCACGACACAGGGAATAGCTGCAAAGCAGCATTAAAACATTATTAGTAGTCAAGACTTCTGTTTCATCCTAATTGCTCTCAAAAACTTGAGATAATAAGATTATATTGAGGGGCTTTTTTGTTTGGTTTGGGTTTTTTAACTTTCTCTTTTGTAATTTTATTCATAGGGGTTTAAATGCTCTTCCAGGATTTTGCATACTCAAATTGAAAATTCAAACCTGTCTGCAATGCTTGGCTCCCTATTCTATCCCTTGCCCACAAAGAAACAACTCCTCATCAAAACCTTTCATTACAGCTGTGCGGTTCTTCTGTACCCTGTGGCAATTCCTACACCAGTAGATTTTGTTTAAAGACCAGAACATTAAATAGCAGCATGCTTGATTCCCTTCAGATCAATTTCTAACTCCTTTTTCCTCAGCACTGAACTGTATCCACTGCCACAGCTTTGTTTCCCTGTTTTAACACAGGTCCTGCTCATTTCCAACTACAGAACAGTCCACTGGATATTTGAATTTAATTTCTCATGGATTACAAACTTCCTCTGAACTTAATCAAAAATGTTGGAGAAAGTACCATTAATTTTCAAGTAAACTTTGAATCATAAGAAACTGCATTTCCCTTAGGCAGGGGAAGAAAAGGTTTTACTGTGTCATTTTTAGAATACAAAAACAGGTGATAGATACATTATTCCTGAGTGAGAAACTATATAACACAGAAGTCTTCACTTTATTTTTCCATTTAAAAAAATATGCAGCCGTAAAGAACACACGGCCATTTCACATCTCCATGAAACTGCTTTCCTCAGCCTCATCTCCAGAAACACCAAGTCCCTGTTTTTGAAAACTTTGTGACCTAAAAATTGTCCCTTTAGCAGTTATAATGAATACTACAGCTTTTCAAAACTGTACTGCAGGCTGAGCCCTTTGACATTGAGTAGGATGATATCTGGGTGCTCACTGATGGAACAACCACAACCCCTCCACCTAGGAACTTCAAATCTGCACAGCCTTGGCAGTAGGAGCAGTGATAGAGCAGATAAAAATGTCTCACACACTGATGGGCATCCGTCAAGTAGAAGAATTCTCTGAGGATAAGCAGTCAGTTCCCTACACAAGTCAGCCTCAATCTGTGGCCTACAAGGACATTTAATCTGAGTAGTGATCCATTCCCAGTAGCCTTTTTTCCTGGAGGCCACTTGGTAGGTGCTCCAAGTTAGAGAATGGTACAAAATACACATTATCATCAATCAATGGACTATCTTAAACTGTTTCTGGATTGTTTTGGGTCATGTTTTTCATTATCTAGTTAAATAAAACTTTTCATTTCCCACGTGTACTATTTCTCATTAGCTTGTAATAGAACATATCACATACTTTCAATTTTTTTTTCCAAATTTCCGGATTGCAATTTAAATCCCCAAGAAGCTTTACAGCCTAACCACTAGTTACATCCTTGTATCAGCATTGCAGGAAAGTGATGGGACCAAACTAGTCTTTCAGGAAAATATTTTATTCCCTCTGGGATTCTGTTGCCAGTACAAGACATTGGGAAGAAAGAATAGAATGTGATAACCTCCTTGGGATTTGTGACTCTTCTCACAAAACATAGAAATTTCAGTTTTTGCTCTGTCATTACATCTCTAATTTCTTGGACTACTACCAATATCATAAAGCAGATAAAACCTCTGAAAGAGGCTACTTGGCAGATGTCCTTACCAATCTACTAAAATTCCCTTCCTCTGTTCTCACTGTGCACCAGCTGTTCTAACCAAACTCGCCCACTTCTGAGTGCCGTGACACCAGCAGGTGTATTGTGGCTAAGGGTGCTGCATCCCACGCCCTAAAAACCACAGGGCTGCCCCAGGTATTGGGCCACCAGTTGTCCATCCTGCTCAACAATTAGTATTCTCTAGTGTTTGCTTACTGATAAACACCTTCCCAGACAGCTCCTAAGTATGATTTGTAGAACAGCGCTGGAAAAATCACATAAAAATCTCCCTTTGTCACATGCAGACACCTGACACTGCACCACCAGGCACTGCCCTCTGACACATCCAGGTACCACAAAGTACATGACAAAACCTCTGTGGCTGTGAAGGCCACAGGACATGGTGTGACATGTTGCAGTACAGCCTTCAGACTGTTTGTTCAAAGAATTGTGAACTAGAAAAGAAAACCAGAGGTAATAAAAATGTCTTAGACCCCACCATGGCACATCTTAGTTCTACCCAAGTAGCAGAAGGACAGTAAATGTCTACCTAGCCTATTTCCTTATCTATTGATTCTCTTCCAAGCTGGCTGTATGAATGACCTGCATAAATAAGAATTTGCACAGAACTTTAATCCCATATTAGCACCTTGATATGCAGATAACATTTTCCATGAAGAAACTCCCAAAGGGACTGAGTAACTGCATAACAAATAAAACGATGACTTCATGTCTTACTGGAAACAGACTAAGCTGACAGTTAAATATTGGTCATCTTCAGAAATACATGGTAATTTTATGGTTATCAAGATTTAGAATAGAAAGGATGAATTGCCCTAGTCATGTGGAAAAATAAGAATATTGGGTTGCTAGAATGGAATTTAGACAGTGGGATAATAATGTCGCTCTTGCAGTCAGTACCCAACAACTATTAAGGGACAGTAGATCGATTTTGTGCCTTGTTGGAAAGATGTCAAATTCCCCAGCATGACAGAGACTGGGTCCATAAACTGACATAAAAGGAATGGTGCCATCTCTTGACACACAAAAAGAAATATCAGGGACCCATAACTACATCTTTATGGATCCCTCTGTGTTGCTATTTGCTCAGCTTAGTTAACACAACAATGTTAAGTGCTGATTCATTGAAACAATGAAGATGTAAGTCAAAAGAAACTGAAGGACAGGATTTGTTCTCAAGTACCTACCAAAATGTGGAAGCTAACGAGACATTTGGAATTTCAAAAATACACAGAAAAATTACATTGCTATCTTATGAAAGACAGCTTGAGTAGCCAAAACTTTGGTTTTGTCTTCAATTTGCAGCACTATGAAACACAGATCCTCATTTCTGAGTCTAACTCTTTAATTTTTTTCCCATCTCTGGAAAGAGAAAAACAGAGGATTGTAGTATGTTCATTGTACAACATATACTGTAATAAGGATCTCTGAATTTTCTCAAAGTAGCCACTTTGATTCAGTGACCTGATTCCTTTCTCAGGCTTTCTCATTGGACAGTAGCTCCTATTTAAAATGCTATATACAAAAATATTCTTCATTTATTCAAAAATATTCTTCAGTGTTAGAACTGTAAGGAGGTTTATTTAAAATCCCTTGTCTTTGGGTTCAGCAGTCCATGAACTTCTGCTGAGCCATCTGTTTTATAAAGTACCAAACCTACAATGATTTTTAGGCATGACAGAATTTAACCCTGCTGCTAGCAGTTTTAGGATATTCATTCTTTCAATGGTTTCTTTTATTTTGGAGCATTGTTTTTGTATGATTCCTAACATCTCTTGCATTCTAGCATCTCTTGGTTACTTACACTTGAGGCACTTTACACTTTCCCTAAAGGATGAAATGTCATTTCTGCAGGTGCTGAAATCACGAGTTGTGAACAGGATGACAAACAAGTAGTAGCATGAGAACCATTGATCCCCTTTCTTCACATTTCTATTCTAAAGTTTTGAACTTTACATTCAAAACAGTGAACTATGCCAGTGAACACTTCTGGCATCATTAAATACTTAAATTTTAGCAAGACTCAGTGGGAAAACCTCAACATCCAAAAGGAACAAAAAAGACTCTAAAATTTTTAGCCATACTTGTGTAGATTGATACAAACTCCACCAGAATTATTTAGAATTTCTGTTAATACAGAATACAAGTTAAAGATTGCTTGCCATTGAGAGTATATATGATCATTTGCCTTTAAAGTAACAACTTCTTGTAAATTTAGCTTTTGGATGTGTGAGTTCTAGGACCACTCTGCCAGGGTGCCAAAATTCTGCCCTCCCATGCTACACCCATCAGTGCAAAATATGCCATTCCCTTTGTTTGCGTTTGCATTGGTGCTCGCACAACTGGGCAGCGAGGCAGTGCAGAGTCAAACCAGGCAGAAACAGGTAACAGAGAAAACAGAAATAGTTACCTGTGTGTTTAGCTCCCTGAACTGGGCCACCAAAGACTGGCAAATTTCAGCTCTGGTGCAGGAGAGGCAGCAAAACAAGGAGGTGCCACTGAGACCCCATTTTCCTGACTGGATCTAGGGCACCCACTGCCCACAAGGGTATAAGTGTGGTGTGCTTATACTGTAGACATATAATGCCTTTTGAGGCAATCACCACTGAGCAGGAGGCTAAAAATACCATCTTGGTAACAGCAGGGCATCATCAGGTGCCACAAGTCACCCCAGAAGTCATGGTAATGAAAGTGTTTAAACTAGAACTTCTCAAGCACAATCTTGAGCTTCTTTTTGAAGGCTTTCAGCTCTCTTTTAATGCTAACACTGTGCATGTTTATCAGCTCTCTCCTTTTTTTCTTGAATATTAAAACTAATTTGCTTTACTGAAAAGATGTAATATGTATGCTGTGGCTGTATGACAAGCATCTTGCCAGTTCTCCCTTTAGTGACTTCCCTGAATGAAAGAACAATGTATTTTAAAAATGCTAATTTCAAAAATTATACCTTCTGTCAGACTTTGTGGTGCATTTTTTTCCCTTCTGTTACTCTGAGGAGATTATTTAGCTGTGGGAGAACTGACCATATTTCTTCTAGAGGCCTGGGGTCATAGTTCTGCTCTGCTGAGTTCTTCTGCGCAGTTTTACATCCCGTAGGCTGGGTTTACATCATCCGAGAGTTGTACTCCCCCTTCCCAATCCGGGCAGATGTAAGCCAACTTGGGTCCCAAAGCTATGTGGCTATGTCAGCATGGCACTGAGCCTGCTAAATTCACCCTAATTATCAGGACTGTGCAGCAGAGGCTCATGACTTTTTGGCTGTAGGCTGGCGTGTGTTCAGCCAGCTGAGAAGAGACATTTAGCTGACTGAAAACTAGTACTGCACCTGCAAAGCAAGGTCTGTGTCCTGCATCCCAGGCACAGAGAGGTCGGTCAAATTGTGAAGGCTGCAATGGGTAGAAATCCCACAGAACGAGGCGCTGGGAATACCGAGGAAGCAGCTATTCAATTTGGTACAACTGGGCTACCTTCCCCTCCTTCCCTTGCTCACTGGGAGGCCATGCCATCCCCCAAGGACTGGCAGAGGACCCTCTCACTCATGCTCCTACACTTATTTTAAAGCCTTTGCCTTCACAGTAAATTCTTGCGGATTCATGCTCCTAGACAAAACCTCACCGTGGGGACTTCCCCAATTATTTCATTGATATTTATTTGTCAGGATGTGAGGAATCAGCTGAGAGACACAGGCGGTGCTAAATTAATCTCCCTGCTGTCTCTGTAATCGGACATCCCTCCTGCAATCAGTTTGTGCTCGGGACTTGCCTGAGTGCAAAGTAAGTAACATAATATTTTAGAGGTAAAATAACTTCAGACTATGACTGTACTACAGCTGATCCGGAAACCATTTCTCTCTAGTGGGAAAAATCTCTGTCTCCCTTTCTGAGCCTACCGCTACCCTGGTGCTGCCCCGGCGCTGGGCAAGGAGGAATCTGCCCCTCTCGGAGCCCTGAGCCCATGCCCGCACGTCCCAGCTCCGAACCCAGCGAGCCTTCCATCCCGCGAAGCCGCGGCAGGCACTCCCGTACCCGGAGAGGGGCCGGGAGGTCCCGCCGGGCTCCCTGCACCCGCGCCCCGCTCGCCAGGGCCGGGGGCGGCCGCACCTACCCGGGCACGCCTGGCCGTGGTCGTGGCAGCAGTCCCCGGTTCGCCGGCAGCCTTCGTCGCAGTAGCAGGTCCCGTAGCCACCTCCCTCCCTCCATCCCTCGCCGACGCAGGCGGCATCCCGGCCCTGGCAGCACTTTCCCTGGCAGCTGCCCCCGGCCCCGCTCCCGGCCCACAGCAGCCCCAGCCACAGCGCTCCCGACAGCGCCGTGCCACCCATCACCGCCACACCGATCACCGGCACACCGACCACTGCCAGACGTGTCACAGCCACACCGACCACCGCCACACCGACCACCAGACACAGACACACCGATCACCCCCACACCGCCCACCGCCGCGCCGCCCCGACGTGCGGGTCCCGCCACCGCTGCGCGCTGCGGCCACCGCCGGCACCCGGCGGAGCGGAGCGGAGCAGAGCGGGGCGGGCTGGGCGAGCGGCGGGGGCGGGGGGCGGCCGGTCCTGCCCTGCCCTGCCCTGCCCTGCCCTGCCCGGTCGGGCAGCGGCGCAGCTGCCGCGGTGCAAGTTCTGGGTGCGGGGGCAGCGGCAGCTGGGGAGGGTACGTGTCCCCGGACTGCCAGGTGCTGGATGTTTCCCACGGGATCCGCATGGCAGGACAACTGGCGATGTCCAACACAGCGATGTTCTGTATCAGGATGTCCTGCACAGCAGGAAACATGTCCCACACTGCAGGAACCATGTCCCACACTGCAAGACTCGTACAGATATGACCCTCGTAGTGATGTCCTGCACATGGATGGCCCGCACACCATGACCCACATTGCCGTGTCCCACACTCCAGGGACTTACATCGTGATAAGCTTCAGTGTCCTCCGCATGGCAGTGTCTCCCACATGGTGACGATCCTTACGGCAATGTCCCACACTCCAGTGACCCCCCACAGCGATGTCTCGCATGGTGATGTCCCTCCCACAGAGCCGTGTCCTACGCAGCGGTGTCCCATGCAGCGATGAGCCACAGAGCAATGTCCTTCACAGTGGTGTTGCACAACCGCGGAGTCATGTCCTGCACAGGACATGATCACATGGCAGCATCCTGACCAGCAGCGTTCTGCACAGATGTGCACGGGCCAGCCATACCCTGTACAGTGGTGACCCACAAAATTGTCACAGAGCATCTCCAGCCATCTCCACACTGCCCCGTGGGTGGAAATGACCTGCTGCCACTAGCCGTGGTTTATTGGTACAGGCACTTTCTCATTTCAGAGCATGTCCCACACAGCGTTTGTGTGTATTACATTTTTAATTTTTGTTCTTTCTTTTTTTTTCTTTCTTCTTCTTTTTTTTTTTTTTTTAATCTGTTTCCTGAAAAAAATATAAGAAGCTGTACTTGCAGGTGCACAAGAAAAGTGAGGTGGATTCCCAAGTAACTTCGTAGTAACAAGAGGTTTGGATTCTGGTTTTCAGTTCACTTCAGTGCTAAGAGGTTTTCAGGATTAATGGAACCTGATAATTTTAGCCAAAAGTCAAATCCCAAAAATAAGTGGTGAGGTGACTGCAAAAATATGTTAGCTTTGCACACTTCAATTTGCAGATAGCAACTAAAGCAAGAGACATCTGGTCTCCCAAAGCTGCCTACAAGGGGAGTTAAGAGTTTATTATATTATCTACTACATGTGGGCACTTGGACCCCCCGAGACAGCTCGGGCTAGACAGAACTTAATTTCTCCTAGTCATCAAACATTACTGTTAAAATGTTGTTTAAATCCCTGACGATTTGGTCTGATCTGTTATCCAGTGTGCCACTAATGAATTTACTGGCATTCTGCCAGCCTAAAACTTGAACCCCTGAATAGCAAATGTTGGGGGAGTTCCTGGGGTGGATGAGCAGAGAACAAGACTTGCGGCCTGCCTTGGTAAAAGCAGTATGAGGGAAGGAATGCCTCTTTATGTTTTCTTTTTCTTTATTGTATTCTCATGCTTCACCTGAATGGCAAAATATTAGCAAAGAGTAGTAGAAACTACCTTTGTAGGTGGATAAGTCCTGTACAGATGACTTATGCTGAAAGGATAAGTCAATAAAACTTGGAGGGGTCCAGAACAGGTCAAAGAGGGGCTTTCTCTTAGTGGATATGTTTACAGAAAAAACAAGAAAATATGTCTGCAATAGTCTAGTAAAAGAAAACAGAATACAAATGAAAAATGTTATAATTTCTACTAGACATAGTAAAGAGGATTCTTCAGAGCGACCAGGAAAAAAAGAATCTTAATTAAAGGAGAGAACACAGGCACCCAGTTTCTTCCAGCAAATACTTCATTTTTTTAATTTTAGTTTAGTTCCTTTCTATTTGGAGTAGCACTAGGTAACTATGAAGGATAAAGAAACACAGTGATGTGTTCTCAGCAGTGACTCAGCATTGAAACCCATACAGGCAATTGCAGCAAAACAGGCAGAGATTTCTTTCCAGTCTGACATGAGATGGTCCACAGAAAGTAGGTGTTGCACAGTACCTGCTTTTGATTATCGTTTTGTCATGCAGATAACTACAAGAAAATCAGATTTAAAATGCACGTGTAGGTAAGCTTAGGGAACATGCAGAGTCCTTGCTCTTTCTTGTAAACCACAGAGGAGCATTGCATGGAGCAGAGGTCATCAGGCATCTGTTCCACATGTGTACGTCATGCCTAAATACTTCTTAATCCCAGAGGTGAGAGAAATCTAAGGACTGTATTGTAGTCCTCTCAAAAACAGGTGTTGTTGTTGGCTCTGAGATTTTGAAAACCATGATCAGGCTCAAGTTGTCAGCCATTTTTTTCTCCACTTCTGCCTTATTTTAGCTTCGGAATCTCTAAACTCAGATTCCCAAACTGAAAGATGTAAGTTTTACATGCAGAATTATATGGTAAGAGGGGAAAAGAAACCAAGACTGAATTTTTTTTAAACTAATTTTTCAAACATGTATAACGTGTTCCAATGAGTTTTGTGCCATTGTTTTATTTCCAACCCAAGTGTCCCCATTGCCTTACATGGAGTTCTCCCTGTTTTAAAATACCACAAAGACAAAACTGAGCCATGTGTGTTCCAACAGTAAATTAGAATGAGACCTGGTCTCTGTTATTTATCATGCCTACCAGTATTATTATTTACCATGATTGTTTATGCTTTCTCTATATAAAGAATATAAAGCAGAACCAAGCTTTTACTCTCTTTCCATTCCTGTGGCACATAATATCTACCCATAATACTAGTTAGAAGACTGAAAGCACCTGAAAGTGGGAAAAGCTTCAGACTGGGTACAAAATGTATGTTTGATAGAATACCTTTCTTATTTTTTCAAGTTGAATTTACAGCCACAGTGATTCTGCCTACTTGATGTAAGGTCTATTCAACTCAACTTCAAAGTCTTTTTTCAAATATATTGTCAGCCAGCAGCATTCCACATGCCCACACCTCTTCATGAGCAAACTCTCTGGAAGGTCTAAACTTGTACAAATAGTGCTGATTTTTCTTTGCTGCTAGGAGGTTAATCCAATGGCATCAAACTGAGAGGACTTCAAAAATCCTGCAGGGCATTTCTTTTACTTTCAGGCTCATGTTTGCACACAGCTTTATTTATTTGAGAGAAATACCCTTCTGAAAGCAACCTGCTTGCATTTTCTATTAAGACAACATGGTGACTGATGTGACTACAAAGGCTGTCTCTATCCTGCTACACAGAGCCATGCTTCCCAAGAGCCCCACAGTCAGCTACAACTTGATTGGTCATACGATGCCCTTGTTCCCATTGTTCTGAAAAAGTAGACTTTCTCCTGATAAGAAATAATCCCTGCTAAGGTGAGTAACCAAGTTATGGTGTTTGCTAGTGTAGCAGATAGCTTAAAGCAATAGCAATATTTTGTATGTAAGTGAAATGAGAAGAATTTTGTCCTCGCTAATGATCAACCAGTATAGAAACACAGTAGAGGAAACACAAAAGAAAGTTTCTATAGTTTCATGGCCCATGATGTTACACAGAGAGCATGATGCTATTTCAATGACTAGCTTGAGCTGTTCTGCATTGAATCAGTCCTAAGAGAACAGGCTGAATACCTGGCTGTATTTGAGGGAGGTCATTTGCTGTGCATCCACTTTGCCTTGGCAGTCCTGTCAGGCACAAGCCTGTCACGGGTCATAGGAGATGCATTGGCTTGCTGCGTCTCAGTTACAACCATTGATTTTGGTTGAGGTTGGTAATGATGCACAAAATTGCTTGAATTGGAGAGGTTAATGGAAATATAGAAGACCTATATATCAGGATATTTTTAGCTTATTTTTAAAGGCCTTTATGCTCTCTGTAAGTTATTGAAGAAATGTCCAAGTAGTGCAATCACCACAGAGCTGCTCTCAAACTTCCATGCAGAAAAAATCAGCAAATCCGTGTGTCCAGCCTAAGCACATAAGGACTGGAAGATATCCTTGTCCTCTTTTCCCCTGAATTTCTCATATTCAGATTTAGGGAGCCAAAAGGAAATGGTGCACCTGAGCCAGCATGAGGAAGTGAAGGTGACCCAGGGCAGAATGTGCAGAAGGCTGCAGGACTGTCTCCACCAGCAGCAATTAAAGATGACACTGGCTCAGCTGGTGTACATGGTAGAACATTCCCCTTGCTTATTAGGCTACAACTACATCTCCTGTCTGAATCAACAGCCTCTGGCTTATGGAATAGTAGTATTGCATTCATAAGTACATTTTCTTATGTTAGTTTTTATTTCATCTTAATTCTAAATTCTGTATAATGTTAAAGTGTTACTGATGTTCCAATTTTCATTTGTCTTAGTAATTTTGAGACAATATTCCCCCAGGAGTCACTCATGAGGGAACATGCTGAGTACCTGGCTGTATTTGAAGAATCAGTGATGTGTTTTTAAACTCCTGATCCTGGAAAGTCAGCCTGTTTTTCAGACAGTCTGTTCTGGTTCTTCAGGCCAAATAGGGCACCTGTGCTTTCAAAGGTTTTGCTGAGATGTGAAGGCATCTATTCATTACAGGTGAAGAACACAGTCCACTTGACTCCTGTTTGTAGGCTATCTTCTTGCAGGGTTTACCAGGTAGTTTTACATTTTAAAGGCACATGATCAGCCAGAGAAAAAGAGGGTGGCTGTTTAACACTTTCCAAAACAGAACTGCCTCTTACAAAAATAGGCATCCCAGGATGTTTTTCCACAAACTTTCCTGTTTCCCCTGTTTTGGGGTTATTTTCTTTAGTATTTTCAGACCTC